TATGCTCTTGCAGTTATTTGGTATATTGTCTCTGGATGGTGGAAATGCTATATATTGTTGCACATCTCTAACCAACTCTGTGTTCAGTGACCTCATTTTGGTAGCTTGAAATTAACCGCAGTAAGAGCACTTATACTCTGGAAATCAGCAAACGATACACATGAGAGCACTTTCCCTCAGAGGACGGGCGGTTAAACATTCACAAGCATGCCACTAAACACAGCACTAATAATTACCCAACATTAGACTAAAAAACTCGGAATTGGTGAGGTGTTACTATTTTGTTAGGGGACATCTAAATCCTTCTTTAGGAGGAGACGAAATAAGTTAGACATTTTATAAAAGATTTATTTTTCTCCAATACTTGACCCTTCCTCTCTCTCTCCCTCCCTCCCTCCCTTTTGCAAAGCTGACATTCCAAAGTTAACCTGGTGTAAGACTCAATACTTTTCATTTACCACTTTTTCATAATGCCCTCCTGATTTTGTTCTAATAGACACACTAACCAGCTGTTAGGGCATATTTAAAAAATTCTTCATAGAAACAAATCTGTTTTATTTAGTGTTAATTTGATCCATAACATAAAACGGGGCTCCATGACATTCTTGTCCCAGTGTATAAAATCAGAAAATTGTTCAGAAGGAGGCATTAGGTATGCAGAAGATAAATCGCCTATTTTCTTTGAACCCTATGGCGATTGTTGTTCTAGCTCAGTTTTCATGCTCTTACACACATCTGAAGACAGAACAAAACAAGGGGAGAAAACCACCCAAACTTCAGACAGTTTAAGAAAAACAACTCCATGTGTGTATACAGCCTTTTGGGGGAAGAATCATGAGTAATCACTTCACATATGAGATTTCAACAATAGGAACAAAGTAATGAAGTCATTCAAGAAGGTGGATAATTGACAGGGATTATAATGCAGGAATGCACTGTCGGTTGAGAATTTTAACAGGTCTCCTACTCTTTGAGTGGGATGAGAATAATTAATTCAGTTACTGTGGTCTGAGGCTCATCCCCCCTTTGCCAGCACCTCTCTAGCTAGCTGAGTCAGTATCTGCCCCTTACAGGGAGGGAGGGAGCCAGGAGCCCGCTGGCCAGCCAGTGAGCGCAGCCTCGGCTCTGGCCCTCCCTCCCATTGTTAAAGTATCTTTCCTGACCTCCTGGGTCATCTCCAGCGAGTCAGCCTCAATTCTGCAGCAATAAAACTGAAAAGGAAGGACCTTCCTCTTCACCTCACAAGCCACCCATAGGAAGTTTCCCAAGCAGCCCTGACAGGGAGGCTGAGCAGATAGGAACTTGGTGTGATGGTGGGAGTGCTGCATGGCCAGCCCCTTGCTTATTATCCTGCCTACCTCCTGCCGCCCCGGCGGCCAGGCCCCTGCAGCAATGTAGACACGCCGAGGGTGGGGCACGGTAGGCCACTGCCCGCCATCTTTAACAGTTGACCAAAAACCAAACCCGTAGCCGTTGAGTCAATTCCGACTCATAGCGACCCTATAGGACAGAGTAGAACTGCTCCATAGGGTTTCCAAGGAGCAGCTCATGGATTCAAACTGCCAACCTTTTGGTTAGCAGCCTAAGCTCTTAACCACTGCGCCACCAGGGCTCCTTTAACAGTTTAGCAAGTTTTAATCCAGCCTGACGATATAATCAGAGAAAATATTCTATTTATATTTAATATTTACTTATATGTTCAAGTTTATCTATATCATAGATATAGTTGGGGAGGGTTGGGAGGGCTACAAGAATAAAGCTTATTTACCATTTATTGCAGAGTTAAACATTATATACATATACATATGCATTGGAAACCCTGGTGGCATAGTGGTTAAGAGTTCAGCTGCTAACCAAAAGGTCGGCAGTTCAAATCCACCAGGTGCTCCTTGGAAACCCTATGGGGTGGTTCTACTCTGTCCTATAGGGTCACTATGAGTCAGAATCAACTCAATGGCAATGGGTTTGTTTGTTTTTTTATACATATATACATATATATATATATCACCATCACCACCACCAACTTCCATTGAGTCAATTCCCACTCATGGCGACCCCCTGTAGAACTGTGTTCCACAGGGTTTTCAGTGGTTGATTGTTTTGGAAGTAGATCACCAAGCCTTTCTTCTGAGGGGCCTCTAGATGGACTAGAAACTCGAATCTTTCTGTTAGCAGCTGAGTGCATTAACTGTTTGAGAGGGATTAAAAACTACATACACACATTACAAATGGATTAAAATACTCATGCCTTCAGTGTCATTGATCCACGCCCACTGTGACTGCCCTATCTGTCTCCTAGGCTAGGACACTCAGATAGTCCCTGGTGAAATAATTACCAAAGCAGATTTGCATTTCAGGCAGGGGATAGAGCTGCCATTAATATAGTTATTCCTTTTGCAATTTTAAAAGGGAAAGGAACTCCTTTCTGAATGTGCTGCTTGGGACTCTAAGAAAGTAAGCCACCATCGTGCCCCCAGACCAATGGCCCAGCCAGTGGGCATGTCTGCTCAGCTTCCTGTGGGTGGGGAGCAGCAGGAGCATGGTGGGAGCAAACGATGGGCCCCTTACCATGTATGTGAGGAACATCAGCGTGTGGTCTAGTCAAAACTCGAGTTCTGTCTAATACCTCAGTTGAGGAAAAAGCAACTAGCAAATTCAGTTTTTAAACTGTGAGCTTTTATCATAACCAGGGCTCTCAAAACTGTTAGCTAAGTCGGCTTCCTTGTTATGTGTTACAGTGGAATGTGCTAGAAGCAGTGAGTCCCTGTAGGGAAAAGTACATCTTTGGAGTCAGCCCGACCTGGCGTCAGATGCCAGCCACTGTCTAGTAGCCATGGCTGGTGACCACCCCCTCTGAGCTTGCTTCCCCCCTTTGATATTGGGTCCCTACCTCACAAGGTGACCGATGATCAAAGAGGATAATGCTGTCCAAACCGTGGAGCAGAGTGCCCGGCACGTGCAAAACACTCAGTAAACGATGGGTAGTATTAGTATAGGAGTCCCTGGGTGGTGCAAGTGTTTAACGCACTCCGCTGCCAACTGAAAGATTGGTGATTTGAACCCACCAGCTGCTTCGAGGGAGAAAGATGTGGCAGTCTGCTTCTGTAAAAATCACAGCCTTGGAAACCCTACTCTGTGCTGTAGAGTCACTGTGAATCGGAATCGACTCAACAGCAATGAGTTTGGTTTTTGGTTTGGCGGGTGGTGCAAACAGTTTACACACTTGGCTGCTAACTGAAAGTTTGGCGATTCAAGTCCACACAGAGTTGCCTCAGAAGAAAGGCCTGGTGATCTGCTTCCCCAAAATCAACCACTGAAAACCCTACGGAACACAGTTCTATTCTGACACAACATGAAGTTGCCATGAGTTGGAACTGATTTGAGGGCAACTGTTTTGGTTTTTCATTTTTTTTGATCATTAGTACTAAACAATTTGCCCTCTTGGTAAAATTATCTAAAGTGCTTATCAAGTATAAAGCAACGTTTTCTGTTCCCTTCCCTTTGGAGAATCTCTAACAATATCTAATTGGCCATCAAGAGAGTAAAGATACATGTCTATGAGGAACCTTCAGTACAATGCATGTGGGATTCCAAAATGATGGACAAAGAAAATACAGAGCGATATTGCATAGTAGGAATCACGGAGTACCAGTCCTCTTGAAGACAAGGAGCCACATGGGAAGACCATCTACTACATGTCCCACATGGAGACGCCTCTCTCATTTCCCTTCCTGACACTATGGAGGTGGATGGCCACATCTCTCGTAACAGACTCTGTCCCCTTTCACCAAATTATATCCTAGGCTCCTTGCTTACAGTTAGACCTGGCCCAGGGACCCAGTCTAGGAAGCCTGCAATCCAGTGGGCTAAGGTGAGACAGAAGGAACCCTGGTGGCACGATGGTTAAGCGCTCAGTTGCTAACTGAAAGGTCAGCAGTTTGAACCCACCAGCCACTCTGCGGGAGAAAGACCTGGCACTCTGTTCCCGTAAAGATTACAGCCTAGGAAACCCTGTGGGGCAGCTCTACTCTGTCATAGAAAGTCACTATGAGTTGGAATCAACTCCATGGCAACGGGCTTGGTTTTTGGTTTGAGTCAGAATCGATTCAACGGCACACAACAACAACAAGGTGAGCCAGAGAAGGGAGCTCAGAAGTGGGCCTGGGGCTGCTGGCTCCCAGGATCTGAGAGGCAAACAGGCTGGAACGGTGCTCAGAGCCACTGAAAGGTCATGACCAGGTGCATGGCAGTGAGGCCAAAGAATGAACTGGGAATTATAAAAGGGAGTAAAGCATCTCTTACTCTCCCTTCTAACCCTAAGCTTCTAGATAGCCCACAGGGAAAATTTGCTGCCTAATGCTGCAACATCCTTCCACGAGCCCTGAGAGTTTGAAAATAAAGATATCAGTCATTACTGTCTTGCAAAAGTTAGATAATGAAGAAGGCAGGCAGAAGAAGAATTGATGCGCTCAAACTCGTGTTGGTGAACAACATCGAACATACCATGGACTGCCAAAAGAACAAACGAATCGGTCTTAGAAGAAATACAACCAGAATATTCCTTAGAAGTGAGGATGGTGAGACTTTGACTCACTTGCTTTGGACACATCATCAGGAAAGACCGATTGCTAGAAAAAGACATCATGTTTGGTAAAGTAGAAGGTTAGCAAAAATGAGGGAAACTCTCAGTAAGATGAATTGACACAAGAGCTGCAACAATGGACTCAAACATACCAATGATCATGAAGATGGCGCAGGACTGGGCAACGTTTCATTCTGTTTGTACGTAAGGGGGCCATGAATCGGATTTGACTCGACAGTAACTAATAACATCATTACTATCGAGGCAGCAGAAAAAACGCAAGATTGTAAAGACGACCTACTTTAAGGCCAGGAAATTGTGGTCTACAAACTTTGGGGAAGTATGTCCTCCAAGCAGGGGCAGGTGTTTTCCAGATCTGTGGGACTGTTCCAATTCCAGCACATTTGCGCACACTTACCTGTCTGCTACGTAGCCGATCCCCAGGGACCCGATAAAAAATCCTACATTCACTGCGGACTGAAACAGATCCAGCATCCAGGAGTGGGAGCATACGAGGTTAAACTGCTCAGGTGTGTGTTCCAAGTCAGAAAAGAAAGAAACCAACATCCTGTTAGGATCCTGCTGGACACAGCTCAGCCCAGACCCTCATGAACTCTTACCTGAATTGAATTAATGTGGCTGAGGGGCAAACAACCAACCATTTTCCTACTGTGTTGAGTTTCTTTGCCCTTCCAAGAGATTTGCCCTACCATCTGCTCAGCACTCCATCCTGGAGTGTGTCATTAGGTCAACTGTAGTGCTGGCTAAATGAACTGAAATTGGGTAATTACTCCATTTATAGATGAGACCATGTTTCGCTTTCTGATTTTAATACACAGAGGCAAGTAGATGTGTGGAAATGCCATACTGCCGTTCGGAAGCTGGGCTCCTCAGCATTTGCTGTCATTTGGATTACGAGGCACAGGATGAACAGGTGCTGGCCTGCAAGTCAGGAGACCGGGCTTCTAGGGCTAACTCTGCTAACTCACTCTCTCTGTGGCCTTGAGTGACACTTTGCTTTGCCCTGGGCCTCGGTTTTCTCATCTCTATGTGATAGGATGAGATTAACCACGCTGTAAGCCCTGGTAAATAAAGTTTATAGTACGAAACATTTAGATCCTCCACATTTCAGGTAACTATTCAACCACTTTAGATCCGTAAAAATACACTTCTGTCCAGAAACGTCTGGCCATATAGAATATCTTCACATTATCTGAGCAGTTGTTTTAAAATTAAACCAGGCAACTGGCCTCCTCAGTATTCTCAGATAATTTCATGCCCCCATTTTGCAAAAGCAAGTCTGCAATTTTTGCTTTGTCTGTATCGATAGTGAGAATTTGCAATTAAATTTAAATGTTGAGTGTATTTTTAATCAAAATTGTACCATAGCATAATCTCCAACCGCAAAGGGTTTTATATGGACACTCTGAGCTAATTAAAGAGGGGAAGAAATAGCCATGGAAAGGAAAGCTCATTGTATCACAGTAAGGCAGAGTTCAGGTGAATTCCCTAAGTTCAGGTGTCCATCTGCATGATGGGAAAATGGAGGGAGAGGTAGGGGTTCCGGAAAAATGGGACACCTGGGACTATTCCCTTTCCTGGCATTATTTCTAGGAGTTCTGATAGGCTTTGGTTTTTCCTTACCATTGAGACTTGCATAAACTAGAAACATTACTGTTAGAATTTGTTCAGTCTTTGCTAATCTAGACAAATAAGAAGCTGCTTTGTTCATTTGGAAACTAGGATTCTGTGAGATGCATTGAGTCCAAAGAGTATGTCGGGGCACAGGCATGAGAAGGGGGTGTCCCTGGTGTCTTCCTTAAGCAAAGCTCTGTCATTGCTCTCTCATGCTATGTCCTGAGCATCTACGTGGGGCTCACTCACCTCGGTCACAATGGAGGAACCAGGCGTGTCGTACACCCAGCCATGCCCACAGGGGCCCAGCGGCAACTGGCTCCTGTTGACTGCCAGGCTGGCCAGCGGGTCCACGCAGCCGAGGGTGCTCTGGTTCCAGTCCACCTCGTACCTGAGGCACTGGCGGGTGTAGGCATCACCAGCAGCCCCCAGCCCGGGCACCGTGTAGTTCAGCTCCTCATCCCGGCTCCAGCCGCACCGCTGGCTCAGCTCGGCCACCCCAGGGCACCGGCATCGGTGGTCAGGGGTGAAACCCAGGAAGACGATGCCCACGTAGATGGGGGTGAAGGAAGCAGAGAGCAGGGCTAAGAGAAAGAACGTTTGCTTCTGGAAAAAGTGAAACTCCCCGATGTGCTCTAGAATGTCATCCACAGTGGGCATTCTTGCTCGAGACAGGGCGGGCCCTGCTGTCTTCTTTTCCTGACGGTGCTAAACGCTGCTGAGGGGGCTGTGGCAAGCACAGGCCAGCTCCTGACCAGAAGTCAAAGGGTGAGAGGTAGTTTCCTCTAGAAACGGCCAGCCCTGGGTGCAGACCTCCCCTTGGCCAGGCTCACTCCATACTGCGCTTCTGCCGTGGGCGTGCGCTCGGCAGCTCTCCCGAAATGCCCGAGCCAGCTCCGGGGCTCTAGGTGGTGCTTATTGTCGCACCAGTACAACAAACAAGGCTTTCCCTGTAATCTGAGTGCTTTCACAGACCTGTTAATCTTTCTCTAGTAGAGAAGTGAATAGATTCGTATCCCACCCCCACAGTCACCTCCTCTTTCGGTCCCGCAGAGAAGGGACATGGATTTGGCTTCACTTGCCGGTGTGATGAGAATCAGGGTCTAGGGTCAGTGCTCCCCGCCGGAGTAAAAGTGGGTTACAAATTCTTTGCGCCCATTCTTTGGGCTCATTCTGCAAACCACAGCAAGTGCCCCCAAGACACATGCTGTGCCTGCCTGCTTTGATTTTATTTTCTGGATTTTATAATTCTGCTTTGTAGAAGCGTTTATCCAATCCGGTGCGCCTGCCTTTCAACCCCAAAATGCCTTTCCCCTTGACCCATTTGGGAGGAAGGAATAAAGAGTGTTTTCATTCTCCTGCCTTTTTGTCCTGGTTATTTCCGTCTGTGCTCGGGGTTGTCTCTTTAGGATGGCGGTGGGTGCCTCCAAAATGTAGGAGAAACAGACTATCTGTCTTTCCTGGCAGACAAAAGGATCCTGAATGCATTGTGACAGTGCCAGATAGAGAAGGGGGCCTGCTGATACATCTGCATAGTAAAATACTGGGAATTTAATCCACCTTTCTTTCTTTTTTGTTTTTCTGTTGGATAGTCAGTGGGTACAACTGACAGTTCAGTGGTAGATTCTTGCCTTCCATGCAGGAGACCTGGGTTCCATTCCTGACCAACGCACCTCGTGTGCAGCCACCACCTAGCCGTCAGTGGAGGCTTGCGTGCTGCTGGGATGCTGAACAGGTTTCAGCAGAGCTTCCAGGCTGAGACAGACTGGGGAGAAAGGCTTGGTGATCTACTTCCGGAATCAGCCAGTGAAAACCCTGCGGATCACAGCAGTCCGACCCACACTGATCGTGAAGATGGAGCAGGACTGGGCAGTGTTTCATTCCGTTGTGCATGGGGTCGCCGTGAGTCAGGGACTGACCCCACAGCCGCTAACAACAAGAACAGTGACCTGCAGAGTCTTCCTCCACACCAAGATACGAGAAGTTTTCTTTAAAAAGCAAGAAGTGGGGTGCCTGCCAGGACCCCCTTCGTGGCTCTGTGTGGCTCCCAGAGATGCCTTGTTAGGTGGTGACAGACTAGGAAAATCTATGTTACTGCTGGCCCCATTTTGGCATAAGTTAACTAAGTAGGCTCACTCTATAGAATTAACAGTTTGGGGGAGTATTTTTGGTCACAAAAATTAGTTACAAAGCTCATCCATGTATTATACCCAGTGACTATTCGGTAGAAACAAAACAGAATTGGATTAAATTTCTGGTCCTGTGTGACTGCCCATTGCCAATGGTAGGCTACTGTGAACAGGAGTCTCAGCTTCTCAGGTCATGAAATATCACAGCCTGAAAATGCCGGGCCCCGAAGAGCTGTGGCCTATGCTGTCGCCATCTTGGATAACAGGAAGGACTTACAGGAAGACGGGGCTGTGGCTGAGTAAGTCCACGAGTCCAAGGAGGTGTTCCAGTTCTCTAGCTCAAGGAGTTCTCCAGATGCAGAGATATTTTTAAAATAAGAACGAAAAATCATTAATAAAATAAAGGGCAAATACTTCGTGCCAGCTAGCAAAAAGGTATGGAAAAGTCAGGCAATAAAAATAGACCTTTAACTTCTGATTCTGGAAAGATGGGATAGACATACTCTTCTTGATTTCCCCTGCTAAGCATAAGTGAAAACCCTGGACATTATATATAGAACAAACATAAGAAAACTCTGGAAGGCTGAGAAAAGAAGGTATACTGGCTAGAGAACTTGGGATCCAAGGAATGACATGGTCGTGAGTTCCCTGGGTTTTCTTTCTGCCTCACATAAACCCAGACTGGGTGCTAAAGAAGCTAGCCACCTGGAAATACCCATGGGTGCAGACAAAAAAAAGCCTCAACAAAAGTCTGCTCTCTCTAGCAAACGGGCAGGAAACGCGCAGCCCAGGGGGCAAGAAAGCGTTTAGAAAATAACCTCTCCACTGTAGCCAAACACCAAAAGTTTAATTTGAAAACACACACACATTTAATTTCTGGATATTAGCAGATTTCTAATGATTGCTTAGGTCATAGATTTTCAGAGTGTCTTCCTATTTAGACTGATAGCTTTATCTTCATTTGCAGCTTTAGCATATTAAAATACTTAAATCACCATTACAATGTTGATTGAATGTTGGCTGCAACTATGTAATCAAGCTGACAGATTGAAAAGAAAAATAAATTAGAAGTGTTTTTTTAACCAAGGGAAATAATGTTAATATAAGACCACAAATAATCATTTATTTATAAATTAAGCCGATGGTTACTTTTTAAAGTTTTTATTTTGAAATAATCATAGATTAACAGGAAGTTACCAAGATAGTACAGACAGGTCCTGGCTTCCCTTCCCCAGTTTCCCCATTGGTTACATCTTATGTAATTATAGTACAATATCAAAATCAAGAGCCTTGGTGGCCCCGTGGTTAAGTGCTCAGCTGCTACCTGAAAGGTCGATGGTTCAAACCCACCAGCGGATCCATGGGAGAAAGATGTGAAAGTCTACTTCCATAAAAATTCACAGCCTTGGAAACCCTATGGGGCAGTTCTACCCTGTCCTATAGGGCTGCTATGAGTCAGAATTGACTTGACAGCAATGGGTTTGGGTTTTTTTTTTTTTTTTTTGGTTTATGTGTATAGTTCTGTGTCGTATCCCATGTGTAGATTGGTGTAACCACCACCACAGTCAAGACTCAGAACTATTCCATCACCATGATGATCTTCCTTGCTACCCCTTTATAGTTACACCCACCCCTCATCCCTCATCCCTGACACCCACCAATTTGTTTTCCAGCTCTATAATTTTGTTACTTCAAGAAAATTATATAAATGGGATCATAAAGTATGTCACCATTTTTAAATAACAACTTTACTGAGATATAATTCTCATAAAGTTCACTTCTAAAGTGTGCATTTAGTGGTTACTAGTACATTCCCAAAGTGCATTGATCATCACTATTCAACTCCAGAACATTTTCATCATCATGAAAAGAAATCCCATACTCATTAGCAGTCGCTACCCCTTCCCCTCTCCCCACATCCCTCAGCAACCATTAATTTAATTTCTGTCTCTACGGATTTACCTATTCTGGACATTTCATATAAATGAAATCATACAACATATGGACTTTTGAGCCTGGCTTCTTTCACTTAGCATAACCTTTTCGATTATGCTAAGCATAATACATGCTATAGCAGGTATCAGAACTTCATTCCCTTTTTATGGCTGAATAATATTCCATTATATGGAATACCATATTCGGTTCATCCATTTATCAGTTGATAGACATTTGGGTTGTTTCCACATTTTGGCCATTATGAACAATGCCGCTATGAACATTGACGTTTTTATGTGGATATATGTTTTCACTTCTCTTGGTATATCTAGGGGTACAATTGTGGGGAGTGCCTGAGTAGAGCAAAGGGTTAATGCGATGGCTGCCAGCTGAGAGGTTGGAGGTTCGAGTCCACCCAGAGGCAGCTTGGAAAAAGGTCCTGGTGATTTACTTCTGAAAAATCAGCCATCGAACATCCTATGGAGCACAGTTCTACTCTGACACACATGGGGTCCCATGAGTCAGAACTGACTCAACGGCAACTGGTTCGTAGGAACTCTTATGTTTAAATTTTTGAGGCACTGCAAAAACCGTTTTGCATTCCCAACCCACTTGTCATTGTCCATCTTTTTTATTATAACCATCCCAGTAGGTGTGAAGTGTGATTTATATTTGTATTTTCCTGATGACTAATGATACTGAGCATCTTTTCAAATATGTTCATTTGTATGTCTTCCTTAGAGAAATGTCTATTCAAGTCCTTTTTCCATTTTTTATTTGAGTTATATGCATTTAGGTTATATGTATTTGGGTTATATGTACTTTTGTTGTTGGGTTAAAGAGTTCCTTATATATTCCACATATTCTTCAGTTTGATTTAGTCAGCTAAACAAGTGTACAGTCATGTGCTGCATAACATCCGTTTGGGTAACGTTTGACCGCATATGCATCTGTGGTCCCATAAGGTTATAATAGAGTTTAGAAATCCTGATTGGAGAATGGGATGTAGCAGTTTACAATGTATTATTATACAGTATTAACCTACTTAACCCATATATTTACCTTGCCAGATACATCAGCTGAAATGCAGTACTGTACGCGTACAACATTTTGGTTATTTAGTCAATGTTGTTAGGTTGTTGTTAGGTGCTGTTGAGTTGGTTCCAACTCATAGTGACCCTACGCGCAACACAACGAAACACTGCCTGCTCCTGTGCGCTCCTATTTAGTCAATACAGGTCACTATAGCATCCTATGTAGCTTTGCTAAGTACAGACAGTCCCTGGCTTATGAACATCTGACTTATGTACAACCTGTAGTTATGAACCAACCCCATAAAGCCTGTTATATTAAAAAAAAATCGAGGTACATACAATGGTTTGTAAAAATAAACGGGCACTACTTTACGGTGCGTTAAAACACTATTATTATTATTACTGTATTATGTTAAAGATGTTTTAGCATATCTGGAAGTGTATCTTTAATTTTCATGCATAGAAAGGTACATTATACACTATACACAAAGACAAATGTTTAACTAACTGACAGTAGGTATGAATTGTACCTAACTTTTCTAATTTACATACACATTCAACT